TGTCTGCTGATTCAAATTGCGAAGTATAATAAGCAATCCCGTCTGCAGAATCTGCAAAGATCGGGGCGCACAAAAAATGTCCCCTCTTTGCTGTTCCCCTGAAAAGCCATAGTGACTTGTTGCGTCGTTTAAGGTTACCATGTGTATATATAGGTAGCTGTAGCATGTCTATGCTATGCTCCGACCGTTTTCTGAGAAATGGGAAGCGGAATGACAAGCGATCATGGTGGAAGTCCTTTACAGAAGTTTCCAAAGGGGGCAAGGAAGCCTACGTGTAATTCTGAATTCTGCCCTTTTTTTAGCGGACTGGGTCCGTGCAAGTAGCAGGTCTTGGCCATTTTGCCATTGAGCTGCAATTGAGCTACTCTCCTAAGCACATGTGCTCTTTCTCGTGATTTTTTCCGAGAACGGGTTGGGAAAGGCTAGGTTTCCTCTTCAGCTGAACTCGAACCCCATCAAACTGTCACGACGGTGAAGCTAATACCCCGGAATAAGAGGTATTAACGTAATTGCTGGGACAAAAACGTCATCATCGCTTCAAAATGTCATTTATAAGCCGAATGGGTTTCCTAAGGGCAGTACCAGGCATTTATGGAGTATTTTTGGGAAAAGACTTGAATTGTGATTCGGGTACGGTCTAACCTTTATATTCCTCCGATGGTTTCATAGAAGACAGTCGGAGCTCGTCATCTTTTTTCTGTGTTCCATTTCCCAACGAGCTGGTTCTCACCATACTCCAATTTGTCTATAGTCCTCTTGTTCCCATTGATGTTGGTGTGAATCGTTTACCGCTACATATTATTATGAGGTCTTTTTGTTATTTTGAGCAATTCGGTTAGTTGTGAATGTTCTCCGGTCTGGTATTTATCTATTCATTTCACTACGCATTTCCCTCTTATTCGTCCGGTAGCTGTGATACGGATTGTGATATAAAGATTTGCTTTTTCTTTACCAAATTGTAATTCGTGAGTATTCTGCTGTTCCGAAGTTTCATGGTGACAGATAACATACTGAGGCCTCAAGAAGTTTAATGGAAATTGGCACGATAAATCCCTCAGGCATTGTTCACAGTCTGAGACCCTGACGAAACAGCGGTTCGGCGAAAAGCAAAATACTTATTGATCGGAGAATAGCCAACCGTCCCCTTCGACGAACCGCCGCAATTCAGCGGTTGGGCGAAAGGCAATAGATACGTACCGATTTCGCAGGCTAGAGAAAACGCCAAGG